ATGTCCCCCTCGAGATTCTCAGCCAGTCCTTCCGATGCATTTTCTGGCTCACCTAATTTCATTTCCAAGCCCTGTTCCAACTTCTGGTCCACAATCTCATTATTTGAAGGTTCTAGTTTCTCAAGGACCGCATCAAAACATTCTCTGTTACACAAATATTATTATATCAAGAGTATACTTAAAAAAATTTACATTGAAGAAGCACAAATTGAAGTTTACCTCACTTCTTTAGTCACCCGAAAGTCGCGGCTTAGCTCACTCTCTAGCCTTTCTTTAACTTGCCAAAACTTTCTGCCATTCCTCCTTTCAGATGCTGTACATGTCTCTGTCAGTTCCTTGTTTTGTTTCTCCGAGCACTTCATAGACTCTTGGACATTTTGAGATTGAAGGTCACTTTCTTCAATGTTTTTACCATCAACAAGAACCTTCTCCAAAGTCACTAAATCAATTATTCATGCTTTCGATTTCACAATACTATAGTGTTCACTAGGACGAGAGGTAAACTCAACTACCTTATTCGTAATCTCCGCGTCCTTCTCATGACACTCACTTGACATTGTAGCCATGTTTTGAGGCTCACCCAACAATTTCAATTTCTGGTTCAGATTATAAGGGGTCAAATCTAATACATTAAGAAATTTTCTTTGAAACAGAACTAGAACTGAGAAACAGAAACTTGTGGTACAATATTTGGAATCAGAGAAATGAAACCAGAAAGTTGCTTTGCCTCTCAAACACTAGGATGCTTACCTGAGATACATGTTCTTTACCCGAGAGATGGATGGTGAAAATCTCAAAGCTTTTGCAAGCAACATTGCATACTTTGCAGAACCAGGCAGAACCTGTTCCATTGCAGTTCTTCTTAAGCTTCTTTCTCCTTTTCTCCTGCTGCAAGAACTGATTCGAAGCTTTTGGTACATAGATTATTCCCTTGAGTTTATTATTTGCAGCAGACCTACTAGAACCAGACCCTAAATCCATTGATTGTCTGGACAGAACTTGTTCAGAAGTATCATGGCTAGATATTTCAGAATCGAATTCATCGTCAACGAGCCATGAAGATTCATACAGTGTGAGAGGACAACCACCTGCCAATAAACTTCTCCAAAGCCATGTTGTCTTTGCAGAAGCGACCAATGAGACTGAAACTTGTCGAGGATGTGCAAGAAGAATGTTGTACCTCCTCATTCGCAGTCGATGAAGAGCATCAGAGAAGTCTCCGTCACCGGAAATGAGCATTAGATTAGCCGGAGCAGGATTCTCCACCACCCACAAAAACATATCCACCAGAATCTTCTTGTCGCTCATATTAGTAGAAGAAAGCAACTCAAGAAACTCATATGGTGATTCCAAGTCTTAGTTCTATTATGTTTATATGGATTTCATAGATTAAAGATCAAGAGATCAAACCAGAGGGGACGTGATTAAGAGCGATTCCAGTGGAAGAGAGAGCTTGCTGAACAAAATTAGGGATGAGGTTAGTGTTTCCATAGGAAGAAATGGAGAGAGGACCAGAGTAGTTCATCTTCATTAGCGCCGAGCTTATATTTTGAGCGATCCCATGAGCATCCCAACCCTTAGGAACCGGACAGTTCTCAATGTCCCACCAAACAGATGTTCTAGCCATCGCGTACTCAGCTTCCTCTGCCATAACTTTGTCTCTCAGATGCTCTCCGTATTATTGAAGAAGGTGATCACTTTTGTACAAGTAAGCTTTTGCGCAAGACGACAAACAAGTAAAAAAGTATATAAACATGACTTTAGAAAAACTAGTTGTTGAAGAGTTTAACAACTCCAACAAGACATATCTATCAGTTTTAGACCATAAAAAATTAGATCATTCTTGTTTCTAGTCATTTCTTAACGTTATGTTCTCGTTAGAACATCAATTATCAATGATGAATCATTCATTTCAGCGAAAATTAATGCAACAACTATTAGATAATTACGAGAAATTCCATACATAATTGTTCTCACACAACCTTGCACCTAAAGTCTGAGATAAAAAGGAAGAAAAAAAACCATTCGTTGTTGACACCATAAACATGCTATTTACAAAAATAACGTCCACATTATCATAATTTCCAACAAACTCATCAAATTCCAGCCTTAGATTTACCTCTTTTTCCCCCAAAGGCGGGTCCAAAAGTTATCAACTTGGCCCTTACTCTCTTCTTCCCTTTTGGCAGCCTCTCCTGCACACTCGTTTTCGGGCTCCTCTGTTGTTTCTTTTTCTTGGATCTTCCTTGAGTTGACAATGAATGCCTCTTCCAATGCTTCTCTCGGTTTTTCTAGGTCAGATACTTGTTGAGTTCTCCTTGAATCCCAAGAACGGGCACTATAAATTCCTACCTCCTCACGCATTGGTACCCAATTGTTAGCTCGCAGATCAATAACATTACGGACCATAAACCTCATGCGTGGTGCTAGCATCGGGTGCATTGCTAGTTCCTTCAAACGAAGGAAATACATATCGTTTATACCTCGTGAATTTGGGCTCTCATCTAGTTGTTTTCCGACTGTGATGAAAAATTGACAAAGAGCCTCTACATCTTCCTCTGCTGGACAAGCTTTATTGTCATGTCCTAAAAGCCCCTGTGACAAGACACAAAGTTACCATGAGCTCTACAGAGCAAGTATTACATCCACTAAACATTTAACTGTACCAAAGCAGAGCGAGAATCATACTTGGACGATGTGATGACCTATCTTCTCGGGCACCATCTTCTGCTTCAGAAGTTCACCAATTAAACGGATATTTCCTAATGTTCGAAGCTTCACCATTCTTTCCTTGTCCCTGCGTTCCATTTCTTGCTCTGGGGCAGTCATCAGTTTGACCTCTTCCTTCAACTTGTCAGCGCCTTCAAATGCTTCTTGGCAATAATTCAAAAGCAATCTTTTGAATGTTATTTCTTTCCCACCGGCTTCCTCTGATGGGAACGAAGGGAGCTTTCCATCGATGTCACAGCACAAAAGAGCATACATCTGACAAAATGTGGGCTCTAGTACTGCCTTCTCATAAATCAGCTGTACCACTCCCTGAAATTAACAATAAGAACAATTCAATTCATAAGAGAGAACGAAAAACAAGCAAACGCACATGGAACTGTGATTACCATTAGGATATCTGCAGAAGTGATCCCAGAGTCCATTAATTGACCTTTTAGGAGATCGTACTTCTCAGGAGTCATCGTGTAAAGAATACTTTAAAGAAGCAAAACTATACGATTCAGTCAACTATATAAAGCAAACAGCCCCAAACACAAATACAAACACTCATCATTATAGTCATGAAGAATACAATACCCTTTAACAGTCTTGAGGACTTGGTCCTTTTCTGAAAGAGTTCTTCTTCTAGCTGACCATGGGACCTCTGCTTTCACCATGGGACCTCTGCTTTTTTTATTTTCTTGGGCGTTTTGAGACTGCAACTGAAGCTCTGCAATTGTTTCTCCTGATTGATTCTTTTGTTCGACACCTTTCTCTTGAAGCTTTTTAGAATCAACGAGGGCCTGATCCAACAAAAAAATATCAAACATGTGTTTTACCAAAATGTAAAATTATCTGTTTGTCAATTTCCAAGTTCTCTAATACTCAAAAGTTAGAAACTTACTTCTGATTGACTCAGCATGGCAGTATGTTTTTTACCCCTTAGATGAGAATCAAAATCTATTTGACTATGGCATGGGACATTGCACAAACGACAAACGTGCTCAGCTTTGGGTTTAGGCTCTGCAATTGTTTCTCTTGTTTGATCCTTTTCTCCGACACCTTTTTCTTGAAGCTTCTTAGAATCAATGAGTGCCTGATCCAACTGTAGTATATCAAGCATATGTTTTAACAAAATTGTAAAAGTTTATATGTTTGTAAATTACTAAGTTCTTGAATAGCCAAAAGCTGGAAACTTGCCTCTGATTGACTCAGCATGGCAGCATGCTTCTGACCCCTCAGATGAGAATCAAAAACTATTTGACTCTGGCACACTACATTGCACAAACGACAAACGTGCTCAGCGGTTGCTTTAGGCTCTGCAATTGTTTCTTTTGTTTGTTCCTTTTGACTGACAATAGTTTCTTTTGGTTGATCATTTTGACTGACAATTGTTTCTTTTGGTTGTTCCTTTTGACTGACAATTGTTTCTTTTGGTTGATCATTTTGGCTGACACCTTTCTCTTGCCACTTCTTAGTATCTATGAGTGCCTGGATCCAACACGATTATATTAGGCATATGTATTGATAAACAGTAAAAAATTCTCTGTTTATAAATTCCTAAGTTCTCGAATAGCCATAAGTTTAGAAACTTGCCTCTGGTTGACTCAGCATGGAAGCATGCTTCTTACCCCTCAGATGAGAATCAAAGACAAATTGAGTTTGGCACACCACATTGCACAAAAGACAGACAAGGTTAGCGTTAGGGTTAGCTCTATTTTCACTCACCTTCTGCTTCTGTTTCTCCATGACGTCCTTAGGAAGCACAACTGGTCCCACCGAAACGTTTTTGGACTTGCCTGATTGCAATTCCAAGTTTTTTTGGTGTCTTTTTCCATAGGTGTGCTTTTTATATGTATCCTTGTTGCTGCAGATGATCTGGCAAACTTCCTGTACGGGTTTGGCTGAAACGCTCGCTTGAGCTCTGTGACTGTCTACAAAGGCAGCCTGCACAAAGAAGTCAAACAATTTGTATTTCCTTCCCTTAAAATTTCCAGACAAACCCATCTTCAAGTAAAGATACACAAAAAGGATACTGCCATCTCTATTTCTTGCACTGGATGATATATCTTCAAAAAGTTAATTAAAGCTAAAACTTAAAAAGTACGCCTTTATATACCAAAATCAACTGATCCACAATGGAAAAACTGATATGTAAAGCGAAAATGGGTAACAAAAGAAGGAGAATTTGATGAAAGAAGAAGAAAGATATAAACTAATCACAACATACTAGTTTACCTGAGATACAGGCCTTTTATCTGGGAGGTGTGCGAAGCTATCGCCGACAACATTGGATATTCTGCAGGGAGTAACAGATTCACATGCGGCTCCTCTACCATTCTGAAGCTTATTTCTTCTCGTCTCTTGAGGAGGTGGTCCTCTCGGAACGTGGTTTTCTCTGTCTTTGTGATCCTTAGTATCTACAGCGTCAGAAGTTGAATCTTTTGGTTTGCTGGACTGAGCTTGTTCAGAAACTTGATGTTTGGACACTTCATAATCAGAGACATGACAACGTCCATTGTTGAGGAGTCGGGAGGATTCGCCACTTGTAAGAGGAGGGCCTCCCGATGCTAGGCTTGTCCATAGCCATACATTTTTGGCAGCAGCGACAAGCGGCACTGAGGCTTGTGGAGGCTGAGCCAAAAGAATGTTGTACCTCCTCATACGCAGCTGGTGAAGAGCATACGAGAAGTCTCTGTCACCGGAGATGAGCATGAAATTCGCTGGCGCAGGGTTGTCTATTGCCCACAACAACATATCCACTAGAATCTTCTTATCGCTCGCATCTTTCACTCCTGTTCACACCACCAAAACAACAAAAAAACACAATCTTATATATTGACCCTTACAAAACAACCAAAAGACTGAGATTTGATCCTTGTTTCCAAAGTCAATATGGTCATACACAGTTCAATTTCTTGCAATGCAGAGTGAGCAAACAAACCCTAAACCGATCGACCCAGAATCAATGATCTAACACTAAGAAAGACTGAGATTTGATAACAAGCTTCCAAAGTAGAGCAACACCAAAGTCAATTTCTTGCATAGTAAACAGAGAGCAGAAAGTAAAACCCCAAAATCACAGATCCAGTATCATCATCTAACCAAAATCACACAAAAAAAAAAAAAACCCAAAATCCCAATTCCAGGAAAAATGATGAAATAATTGAGAGACATGGGCGAATCGAAACCTGCAGGAACGTGATTAAGGCCAACACCAGTAGAAGAAAGCGCTTGTTGAACATGGTGAGGGATCAGAGTGGTGTCCCCATAAGCAGTGATTGAGACAGGTCCACAGTATTTCATCTTCAGCAAAGCCGAACTCACATTCTGCGCAATCGCGTATGAATCCCAACCTCTGGGTACCTCGCAGTTCTCAATATCCCACCACACCGATGTTTTCGCCGTCACGTACTCCATCTCCGCCGTCGTCCTCGCCGGAGATTCTAGAGAAAAGACACTGTTTTTTTGCTTCAATGAAACTAAAGTGAACAAAACCTACCTCTCTTCTCCCTCTCTATAGTCTGAGATCGGAGTTAGTTACTTAGTTCGTAAGGTATGGATTTAAGCAGTACTCGTTTTCATAATTTTTCTTTCCATGTTGACGAAGAAACCTTTCACATTCCTATGAGTCCACTTTTCCCATTTCTTTTGTTCGTACGAGCTACTTTATTTAATAAAAATACACTG